ACTAGAGACACTTTTTTCTTTTTGATGCCAGAGATAGTGAGCCCAGGGTTTTGCTACCACTGAACTACGTTCCAGTCTTTTGAGATACAGCAGATATCCCTAACAGTTCTAACATACTCACAACATTGGTAATAGGACTGATGCTTAAAAACTGTGAAACTGAAGTAAAAGAGTGTGTGAATATGATGGCTGTGTTTTATATGTATGTAACTAGAATAATAAAACCCATGAACATTTATTAACAAGTGGGGGTGATAAAAAAGAATAATAGAAGGGGTGAATTTGACCAACTAGATGTGAATGGAAATACCACAATAAAACCCCTTTGTACAGTTAATATATACTACTAAAAATCTATTTGGGCATCATGGTATGTTTTAATAACAGTATGTCATAAGGCAGAAAAAACAAGAAGTCATTTTGGCATACATACTAGGCTCTAATAGTTTACAATAAACCTTAGTTTTCCAAAATGTCAAAATGAACAGAATTACTTTATTCCTTTTGCATTAAAGATAGACAGTGTCTGTGAAAAGAAAAAAAAAAGATATAACAGGCAGTTTTCATTATATGCTAAACCTCCACAGCACATGGTGACAGTGTGATTGAGACAAATACAATATCACCCTTACAGTATTGTACTCATATTTCTACTTTTGTTTTCATCTCAGTAATGTGTTCATTTACAGCAACAACTACAGCTTACTCATGATCATATTCACTGTCCTAAAATAGGGCTCTGAATGTATAGGAACTCAAATGTGTGGTTTTAAAAGTCAGTTCTTTGATGTTGAACAGCAAGCTCTTTTTTTAATTTCTTTTTTTCTTTTTATCTGTTCGTGTGAGTCCTGGGATTTGAACTCAGAGACTGGGTGCTCTCCCTGAGCTTTTGTTCTCCAGGACCAGTGCTCTACCACTTGAGCCACAGCTCCATTCCTGGTTTTTTGGTGATTAATTGAAGATAAAAAATCTCTCAGACTTTCCTGCTGGCTTCAAACTGTCATCATCAGATCTCTCTCTTCTGAATGGCTGGGATTACAGGGATTAGCCACCAAGGCCCCACTAAATTTCACTTTTAAGAGATAATGTTCACCCTTTATACAAATTCTAAAGATAATAAAAAATATTTGACCTCTAAAAATAAAAGAGATCATCTTCTGTTTTCTACCACTGTCTCTACGGATATCTTTTAAAATCACAATCATTGATTCTGGGGATCAATAAGATTTAATTTTTCTTATAATAGTTAAAACTATAAACATTGGTACATGAATAAGGTACCAAAAAGCTTTCTATGCTTATTTGTTACATCTAACACTGGTGCTTCTAACATTGCTCATTAAAAAACAAAACACTTGACAAAACCAAGGTGAAAATTTACTTCTGATTCTGAACTTTATCTCCCAGGAACTATTTAACATACGCTTTCTACATTAAAATCGATTTAATATTAAAATAAACCTTCTCAGAAAACATTGCAAATGTTATGTCAAAAGAAATCAACATTATTAGTGTTATATTTGAATACCAATCTAATGCCCACTGTAACACAAAATCATTAATTAGAATGAGTGAGATTCATTCAGCTGAAATTTTTATATAATTTCGTGAATGGGATGGGGTCTATCATAAATAAATAATGGTATTTCACATTTTATACTTAATATTTGAAATAGTTTAGCTATTATCATGTTGATTACATTTGCAAAGTAAATTTGGTTAAACTCTACCCCAGAACTGTAAATACAGTTAATATTAGGTGTGCTTTATACATTTCAACAATAATTCATCCTTAATTATTCAACTCTGAGGTACTTAAAACTAAGTCCTAATTCTATGTGTGTATTAAAAAACTTTAGAATGATGAAAACAAAAATTCAAAAATATGGATTAAACAAGTATATCTTACGTATTTTTAATAGTATGCCAGCTCAAATACAAGATTTCAAAACAAATCTAGAGGAAAAGGTAATAAACCATAGTCACATACATCATTATATGTAATAAATATAGATAAGCATACATTTACATAGGCAGTAAGTATTAAATCAGTCATACGTTACATTAAGAATTATGACCGTTTTTAACTATATGCAAAGAAATTATATAAAATAAATTCTCTGGCTATTCACGTTGCAAAATTTATAGTATTTAATCAAGTTACTCAACATACATGCCAATCTGATAATTGAGTAAAACATTACAGTCTTAGGTTCTTGGTAGCTGTCTATTCTATGATGTTTAACCTTTAAGTAGCTGAAATGTTATTCCACAGGGATACAGAATGATCTCCTTGATTCTTACAGAAAAAAAATTAACTTTTCCTAGGATTACTTAGGGTCAATTCTATGGCTACGTTTAATTCGTGAAACCTTTGGAACATCCCATGAAAAATACAATGGAAATGTAATTATGTAACTAAAACAGCCTTGTAAAGGGTTATAAATATAACAAATACTATTGATTACCAGGATATGTAACCAAGTCCCCCATTTCTCACTTTGAACGGTGGAAAATTACTAGGCTGCCATTCTGTAACAGGCCGAGTCCCCTCCCGTGGCCATCCCAGGTTTAAACGTCTCGCCCACCGCTTCTGCACTGTTCAGCTGTTTCTCCTAGTGGGGACCTTACCCCCGGTGTCAGCGGACTCAGGTCGCTTTCCAGATCTGTTGCCCACATTCGTTACAGGGAGAAAGGAGCTTGGCGGCCTCTGCCCAAGCGGTGAGAGGCAGGGCGGCTCAGGGCGTCCCGGCGTCCCCAGCCCCGCCCCGCAGTGCGCCCTGCCCGCCTACCTTGACCGGGTGCAGGTAACCTTCGCCTCGCAAGGTGCCCAGCCCGGGATCTGCCGGCGCCTCGGCGTCGTCCTGCAGGCTGCGGGTGAGGTGGGCGATGTAGGTGGTGGCCAGCAGCAGCACATCCAGCTTGGACAGTTTGGTGTCGGGTGGCACCGACGGCAGCGTGCGCTGCAGCTCCAGGAACGCGTGGCGCAGGGTCTGCACGCGGCTGCGCTCCCGCGCGGCGTTCGCCGCCGCCGGCCGCCCGCCCCCGGAGCGCGCTGCGACCACGACTCCGGGGCCCGCCGGCCCCAGGCCGGTTCTCACTGGGCTCGAGTCGCGGGTGGTCACGGCTGGAGACGCCGGCTCAGCGCGGGCGCTCAGGGGGCTGCTCGCCGGGCGGCCGCGGTCCATGGCGACGTCTGGCACCGCGCGCACTGCAAAGGACGGCAGGCGAGGTGAGGGGCGGCGGGCGTTCGGCCACGGGCACCGCGAACGCGCTCCCGCCGCACGCCGCCCCGCCGAGTCGGGCTCCTGGACGGTGTGTGTGTGGGGGGGGGCTTCCCGGGCTCCCCGTTGGACAAGCAGGGGCGCGGTGTCGCCTTGACTTCTAGGGGCACACAAGGAAGCGTTCCCCGGCCAGCCGCGGGGGAGGGTGCGGGCCAAGGGGCCAGGATGACGCGCGTCCCTCCGGCCGTTCGTCCCGGGGCTGGGAATTTCCGCGGGAGGAACGGGGAACGCGGGCCTGCCTCTCCCCTGGGGGAAGGCACCCGCCACCGCTCTGGGCCCGGGGACCTCACCTTTCCTGAGCGGCTGTGAGTGCGGACTCCGAGGTGTGAGCGCGCCGCGGGCGTCCAGCCGAGTCTGCGTGGCCAGGGCCCGCGGGGTCACTCCATCCCCGTCCGGCCCAAGCCGAAGGCCACGTCCAGCTCTGCCGGCTGCGTCTATTATGTCCTCGCTCGAGGCCCGGCGAGCGAGGCACGGGCGGCGGGCACGTCCGGCGGAGCTCCGTACTCAGCCGCGTGCCTGCACCGGGGGCCGCCGACTAGGTGTGGAGCGTCCCGAGGGCCAAGGGACGGTCATTAATTACGGCGCCCGGCGGGGGGCGGAGCGGGCGGGCGCCGGGCTCCGCCCCCCGCGCTGCGCCCAGCTCTCCCCGCGCGACCCTCCTGGCGCGGGTTTGGTGGGCGCCCGCGGGGCTTGTTCTGCCCGGGGCTGAGCCCTCTTGGCTAACCGCGGTCCTGCGACTTGGGCCCGCCCTCACCCCAGGCCCTCGCGGTCGGCGCCAAGCCTGGGTGGGGACGCTGCCTTGGGGCCCTCGTCGGGGCGCTCCGTTTGCTTGTCCCGCAAGGTGAGGGGACTGTTGCCCACCGCGCTCCCGCTCCGAGCCCACGAAGACTCCTCTGTGGCACGCTAGGACATCTTCGCGCAGCAAGGGATGGAGGCCGTCCCTCTCTGGTGACAGACCCCGGCCGCTGGCCCTGGTGTTCCCCGGGCTACCCCGCTTTCGTTTCGTTCGCTGGTTCTGCGCGGGAGCGTAGCTTGCAGGGTGCGGGGAGAGTCCGAGCGGGGAGAGTCCGAGCGATAGGAGTGAACCCCAAACCTGCATCGCTGCTGTCCGTCCGGGATCTGCCTCCGTCTAAGGTGACTTATTAGGGGCAGAACAAGTTTCTAGCAAAGTAATGAGGACATTCTCCAAACAATGTGAAAAGGGGGATAGAGGCTCTTCTGTTTGGGGGTCAAAACAATACCAAAGTTATAATGTCACGGAAGAAGCGACTCTTGTATATGTTTTTTGTATACCTTCCAATAGCTTTCTGTCTTTCCAAATTGGAAAGTAGAGCATAATAGTGTCACTTGTCATACTAGAACAGTACAGTTCAGGCACAAATTATATTTAGTGAATCAGAGCCATCTCCAGGCTTCCATCCCAGTTGCCATTCTGTAACTAGATTAGTACCTTAGGGGGGAAAAAAGTACACCCAAATTCCTTTGTTCAAAAAGGACTTAAGAAAGCAAATCTTTATTTTCCCAGTAAATTGTGTGCAAAGAGTGATAAACACAGATCGTTGAATTTGCATGTGGAAAGCAAAGCCTCCGGTTCTACAAAGAAGCAAATCAAACAAGAACTTAACTCATATACTGAGACACCGTTTAACCACAGACCCTTCAAAAGATGTTGCTCAGTTCCGTACAGTGAGGAAATCGGACCACTTGAGGATGATATTACTCCTTTTCCACAAACACATTTTCATTTACTTTTGGGTTTTGGAGAAGGTGAGGTTCATGTATATCATTATTTGTTAGCAACTTTTCAGATTCCTTCAAAGAGAGATTCCTGTATTTATATGGAGAAAATGGAAATAGTGTTTAATTGTTTTAAAAATGAAAGTATCCTCTCCCCCCCCAAGAGTAGCAAATAGAATCTGGGACACAGTAACTACGGTCAAGGCTTGATTAGCTCCCTCCATCTTGCACCCTTGGCACGTCCCCTAGGCGTTTCTGCGGGTAGGGTGGAAAGAGATAACAAGGCTCTTCACCTCCAGCAGTCAACTGAGTGTCCCGTGCTGCCAACCAGCTTCTTTTGTCCTATCTTTTGCCACTCTGTGCAACAGTCTCCCTAAAGCACCCAGCAAATCTAAGTGGTCCTAGCTCCTGAAACAAACCACTATTTGCAGTTTAAAGACACATTTTGAAAATAGTATCTCCATGATTACATCAGTAATTAGTAATGGATGGCACTTATTTATAACTTTACGTGTACCAAATGCTTTAGAGGGTTTTCTCACTTAATTTTTACTAAAACTGAGGACTTTGCATTTTACAGTTGAGAAAATAAAGCTCACGGCAATTAGGTAATTAGGCAATTTTGTTCACATAGCAGCTAGTAAATGGCTGAAGCAGTGTTTAAATGAAGCAGATTGATCATAACGTTAGCACTGTTTGTCATACTGACCTACTTAATATTTGTGTTTTATACTTTGCAAAGAATTTTGTATCATCTTAAATAATTTGACTCCATATTAGCAGTCTAAATTACTGTTTCCCTATCAAAATATTCTTAGTTGGCTAGTCTTCAAAAAAGTATGGATGACTTTAGAGTGATACAGATTTTATTTTATTGGGTGTTGTATTGGTCTTAGAATTACTCTTTTTTTTTTTCCTTTGGGAGTACTACTATGCTTGCTAGGCAGGTTCTCTACCACATAAGCCACACCTCCAGTCCCCATATTCTTTTATTATTGTTGTTGTTGATTAAATAGTTGTACAAATGGGTTACAATTCCAGAAGTCAGGTCATGAGTACATTGCCTCCTGGTCAATGTCACGCCTTCCTTTGTTCTCCCCATTTTCCCCTCAACCCTTATAATTTGTCTTTTCCCCCTATATTTGTCATTGTAATAATTTGTTAAGGTTGTCTTTAAAAGCTGGGCACAGTGGCCACACTTGTAATCCTTGCTACTCTGGAAACTGAGATTAGATCTCAGTTTGAGTCCATCCTGGGCAAAAAGCTCCTAAGACCAACAGAAAATGCTGGACATTATAGTGCAAACCTGTCATTCCTAGCTATGACTGGTTTGGACAAAAAACAAAATCCTATCTCAAAAATAACTAGAGCAAGCTGGGCACTGGTGGCTCACACCTGAAATCCTAGCTAACTTAGGAGGCCAAAGGCTGAAAGGATCATTGTTTGAAGACTGCAGAAAAGTCTAAGAGACTCATCTCTACCTAACCAGTGGAAAAGCTAGAAGGATAGTTCAAGTGGTAGAGCACCAGCCTTGAGTAAAAAAGCCACACAAGATCATGAGTCCCTGAGTTCAAGCTCCAGTTTTGGCACACACACAAAATAACTAGAGTAAAAAAAGAGCTGGAGATGTAGCTCAGTCAAGAGGGCACCTAGCAAGTATAAAGCCCCACATTAAAGCCCCAAGCTGAAGTTTTAAAATGCCTTTAAAAATGTCTTTATAATGCAAAATATAGTGAAAATCATGTATAATAAAAAGGTTTTGTTTATATGTATATAATTATATAGTTATATTTTATAAAAAATGTTTTATCCAATGTAGCAATTGCAGCTTTTCTTCACCATTCCACTATTTCCTTCACTATTTAAGGTATAATATACATAGTTATATTTACCTTTTTGAGTGCATAGCTGGACAGGTTTTGATGAGCCTCTGTAGTGCTGTTACCACCACAATGAAGACACACAGTATCTCCTCCAAATTCCTTTGTACTCACTCTTTGTAGTTAACCATTTTCCTGCTTCCAGTTCCTGGGAACTACTACTCTGTCTTCTCTACATTAGTTGTCAGAATCTCATACACATATATGTATATATATATATGTATATAATATACGGTATGTAGCCTTTAACTCTAGTTCTATCACTAGCATAATGCCTATGAGACATATCCATATTATTGTGTCAATGGTTCATGCCTTTTCATTGCCTAGTAATATGCATCTATACAATAGATTGTTTATCCCCAGGTGAGATACTTTTGGTTTATTTTTCACTTTGTGGGTTGGCTTTTTTTTTTTTTCCCGGTTGTTGTTTTGCTACTGGGACTTGAACTGAGGGCTAGAGTGCTCTTTAGCTTTTTCATTCAAGGCTAGCACTTTACCACTTGAGCCACAGGTTCACTTCTGACTTTTTTGTTTCCTGGTCCTAGGGCTTGAACTAAGGGCCTGGGTACTGTCCCTGAGCTTTTGTGCTCTAGGCTAGTGTTCTACTACTAGAACCATAGCATCACTTCCAACTTTTTTGGTGGTTAATTAGCGGTGAGAGTTTCACATACTTTGCTACCAGGACTGGCTTTGAACCAGAATTGTCATATCTCAGCCTCCTGTGCCGCTAGAATTACAAGTATGAGCCAACAGTGCCTGGCTTCACTTCAAGGTATTTTTCTGGTTAATTGCAGATTAAGAGTCTCACAGACTTTTCTGCCTACGCTATCTTTGCATCAAAATCCTTAGATCTCAGCCTCTGATAGGAGCCACTGATGCCTGGTTCTTTTCAGTTTTTAATTACATATAAACCATTATAAATATTCAGGCACAGGTTTTCTAAACTTAACTTTTCATTTCAATTGGAAAAATTACCTAGGAAAAGTGGGACTGCTAGATATGGGCACATGTATGCTTTACTTTGTAAGAATACATAAAGCTATTAGTGGCTATTTTATTTTTTCATTTCCCTTAGAAGTGAATGAAAGTTCTAATTGTTCCATTAATCATAGCTAGTAACTACTAATGTCTGTGTTCTTTTCATTCTTTAATATATTTTGAATATACTAAATATATTTTGAATATATTTTTACAACCTAGATATCCTGCTTGCCAGCTAGTCCTGTTTCTTAAATTCATGTGTACTACCCCCACCATTCTGGAGCCATGTATCCGCAGTTGCCTTTAGCTGGTTATGCTCTGCCAACTTCACCTTCGTCGCCTTCCCCTACCTCGTATACCTGTTCGTGTGAGAACATGTTTCACAATTCTTAGTGGAGTGCTTGAGAGGTGGGTTCCTCTGCCTGTGCTTCTCCAAGCCTCATTTCCTATCTGTAAACAGCACTGTTGTCCATAGTGTTGTTTTACTAAAGGGTGTAAGTATGTTAAAAAGATAAAAGCTAATAGAGTTCTTTAGAATTATGTCTTGTTCAACTCCTGTTCACAATCAAGCCATTGATTGAGAACAGAAATCACAAAAACTAGTGTAATCTGTTCAAACTAAAAACTTTTTGGAGGGAGGTTTTCTCAAAATACAATTTAAAATGTTTTTGTACCAGCACAATATATTATTTTACAAATGTAAGATTTTATCCACTTTTAATGCATTTGCAAAACATTCTACTTCAGCTTTATTGCACAATATCTATAAGATAACTAAAAATACTTTTATGTTGCTTACTTCTATTTTTTTTTTTAGGGATGAAGTAGGCATCTTATTTTCTAAAGTCAAATGTTAACACCATTCCTACATTACTGGTACATATTGTTTATTTTCCTTATGAAATTAAATAAACTAAGGTTTTACAAAACAAAAATAATATAAAGTTATTTTTGAGCTTTGCAAGTGAGTTTAAAAACATCCTATAGTTTGTGACTAAAAATATTATCTGAGTTTTAAAACTTATTTTTAAAACTCATAAATCTTTTGTTATTACTGTTCCATCATAGCACTGGTCAAAGGAAGTTATTTGAACTATTAAAGTTCAATTTTTAATGTAAAGAAACCTAATGCTTCCATATTTAGCAAGATATACTAGGTATTTTAGAAATACTTATATAGTATATACCTTATATAAAATATACTTTCTTTGAATTATGAGTCCCAGAGATTCACATTCCTTACAGGTATAGAAACCAAAAGCACTTAACCCAGCTAGCAAGTTATTTTTATATTAACAAGAGATGGATCCACTCTATCAACATTGTATGGGTTTTAGAGATAGATAAGTAATAAATTAACAATTTGCTTTTTTCACTGTGAAGTGTTGTTCAGTATTCTCAGTGGATCTTTATACACAGTATATAAATGCATTTAATGTCCATTTTCAGATTACTATGGCTCAAGCATCTCTTAATGTTTTTGAAGAGAGGAAACACCTGTCAGAAGTATTTACTGTGACAAATACAGAAAAAAGCAATAATATGTACTTTTGTTTAATACCATGTATTATTTTTAATTGAACAGTGAAGGAATTTGTTCAAAAGCAGCTTTAAATAAAAAGTAGTTTGACCTAATCTTTAATTAAACTGTACATTGATAGTATCAAGTTCAGTTTGAGGGTCAGAAACAACGTCAAGGAATCTGACTTTTTCCTCCCTGTAGGGAAAGCAGGCTTGTGTAAATACACACGAGCACAGACTGCATGCGTTTGTGAAAGAAGTGGAAAACACTCTCTGTCTCTCGACAGATGTTGCCTCACTGTGTTCCTCAGAGGACATAGGCCAGCTGTGAGGGGGAACACATACTTTGAGATTTTGGATTGGACAGTCTAAGCTGTGCAGTCTCCTAGCCTTGAGTGTTCAATACAGACTGTACATATGTACATATGCTTCAGCTTATGCCAGTTCATTCTTTCCCTTAAAGCCAACAGAAGGGGCTGCTTCTGTCAATTTTCTAGACACTAAAATCTGATTCTCTGTTTTTAAAAAATTATTTATTTTACTTTATTTTTTCCACAGCTGAGGACCAAACCCAGGACCTTGCATATGGCTGGTAAGTACTGTAACTCTAAGCTCTATTCCAGCTGGGTATTTGGTGTTTAATAATTTCATGACCTTTCAGCTTTATTCTCATCTTTTAGCTTTATGTTAAATTACTAAAATGTTAAAAATATGCACACCCTGAAAGAAATCTTTATCAAGAGCTGGATGAAATTCCATAATGCATTTAGTAGTGTACTAAAAATAGAAATATAACCTTTTATTAGAAGCATGTAGTAAGATGTAAATCTTTGGGGATACTAAAACAATAATTTGGCATGCCTGAAGTGAAAATGCTACCTAAGGAAATAATAGACATTTGAAAGAAAACACTTATGTAATACTTTTCAGAGGATAAAGCTGAAAACTCAAAATTGAACATACTCACTGACTTCTCAAAGAAACCCTCATTGTCCTGGCTCCATTTAGATAGCTTACCTTTTCAGTGTAGAAGAATTTATTGCATCTAAGGTATTTAATGTTCCTAGTTAGGCAAGTGAGGATTAAATGCTTGATTTGCTGTTTCATCAGTCTGGTCCTGGTGATCTCAGCTTTCCTCAGGAATATAGAATGTGTGTGGGCCACTACTGATCTACTTCAGTGTGTGCAGCAATATACAGAATTCACCAACTTTGTGTGTGTGTGTGTGTGTGTGTGTGTGTGTGTACTGAGCCTTGGACTCAGGGACTCATGCTCTGCATTTTTTTTTGCTCAAGGCTGATGTTCTACCATTTGAGCCACACCTCTACTTCCAGCTTTTTGCTGGTTAACTGGAGATTAGAGTCCCACACTTTCTGTCTGGGCTGGCTTGGAATGATAATCTTCAGATCTTAGCCTCCTGAGTAGCTAGGATTATAGATATGAGCCACTAGCACTCAGCTAGAATTCACCCACTTTGTTTTCTAAACCTGTGCATATTATTTATTGTTTTGTTTTCCACCTTATGAAATAGAAGTAGTACTTCTCAAAGAAAAAAGACATTAAGAACACTGTTGTGGAATAGATACCAAGTATAAATCTTCCAGAAACTATCAGGAGTTCTGTGGACAAATTGGGTATGGTTTGAATAATAAAGATAATGTATGTTGTAGATAAGCAGTAAAGCATATTCCCATATATCTCTCATTTTATTGTGAATGAATAAGAGGCAAGACCCAATTAAGTGTATTCCAGACTCACAAGTCTGAGTCTCTTCCTGGTAATCTATAGCTATCTGAAAAACTACTAAAGCAAAAAAAAAAACAAAAACACTGCCTAGAAAGCAAGAGGACATGATTTCAAACCCTAATGTGGCAAAAGAAAAAAATAAAACATCTCTGATCATTCATACATCTTTTTTTCTGGTACTTTCCTAAGTCATCTCTCCTACCTCAGGGAGTATATCTAGTCTGTAACCCCAAACCGTTCCTGAACAAGCTATCTGGGATAACCAACAGTGAACTGTGTGTGTGTGTGTGTGTGTGTGTGTGTGTGTGTGTGTGTGTGTGTGTGTGTGTGTGTGTGTGTGTGTTTGGCTGAGGAGGCCTGAGAACAGAGAACTAGAAGACAAATGGAGGGCCTCTCTTACTACTGGCGATAGTTCTCATCTCTTTAAAAACGATAAACCATATGAATATTTGAAGGAACCTACCCCATATCTTCAGCAGTTGTAGAGTTATCTTCTAGAGAACTTTCAGAAGATGCATTTCTATTTGCAAGGTAGTTCTGTATGTCAGAGAAAAAGACTAATTTTGGCTTACCCACATGTGGGTAATAAACAGGAACTATGTGATGCATTGTTTCAAAGTTGCCTGTAGCATAGAAAGAATGAAGAACATCTTGTTTTGAAACTAATAAAATGTTTTTAAAAAGACATACATAGCCGTTTAAGTCATCTTAAGATTACATTTTATGAAATAGAATTTATAAAGCTTAGCTGGGTGCCAGTGGCTCACGCCTGTAATCCTAGCTACTCAAGAGGCTGAGATCTGAGGATCATAGTTCAAAGCCAGACCGAGCAGGAATGTCCATGAAACTCTGATCTCCAATTAACCACCAGAAAACTGGAAGTAGTGCTGTGGCTCAAGTGGTAGAGTGCTAGCTACTAGCCTTGAGCTGAAGAGCTCAGGGTCAGCACTCAGGCCCAGAGTTCAAGCCCCACGATTGACCCAAAAAAAAAAAAAAAAAGCTTAATGAATTTACAGTAACATTGGTTACAAAATATCCAAGAGAAAACACTATAATAGACAAAATGGGCAGGCCAACACTAATACAAATATTAACTGCCTTGAATTTTGCTGTTTTGAGTTCATTTTTTCAAGTGTTTAACTACAGGTTTAAAAAATTTTTTATCCTGTAGCTTTTAATTTATGTATTTACTTTTGTCTTCATAAATAATAAAACATCCTTTACATAACCAAACCATACAGTATGCTCTTTACCTGTATACATATGGATAAATGTGGTGAACATCACACACATGTATCCATGTGTACCACTTATTTTAAGCCCAAGAGCAACACTTCGTTTAAAAGAGGATGGCAAATGTGCAGGGAGGGGGAAAAGGATTCATAACTGATCAAGGAAGAATAAGTATTCTTGAGAAATGGACAGATGATTTTCTACTGCAGTTAGCCTTCACTGAAAGTTTTAACTGAGCTTAAATTCTATTTTCAACATAGTATCCATTTGAATCTATTTGAAAATATATTTGAATACACCTTGTAAATTTTTGAAATTATTTCATGATATATTCTTATTTCCCATTCATTCTAAAAATCATCCTTTTCCAACAGTAGATTTTGCTAACTTCCCTCCACACTGAAGGTAATTTCAAAGCAATAGAGTCTTAATGTCCTTAAGTCTACAATTCAGTGGTCAATGCCGTGTTTCATTTTATCTATACAGTACGTCTCTTTATCAGTCTATCTTTCTGTGGAGATATAGATTGTTTCCATATCTTGGCTATTGTGAGTAGGTGCTTTAGCGAACATAGGTATGTCAATGTTTCTTGGCAATCTTGAATTCATCTTTTTCTGAACAATACTCAGAATTGAGACTTCAGGATCATATGGGAGTCACATGTTGTTTCTTTTTTTTTTTTAGGAACCACCATAGAGTTTGTCATAATTATTGCATTATTTTGCATTCTCATGGACAGTAGATAGGGGTTCCATTGTCTTAGCAAACCTTGTTGCTTCTTTTCTTTTCTTTTGTCTTTTTCTTTTTTGGTACTGGGGATCGAACCCAGGATGTTGCGCTTGCTAGGCAAGCGCTTTGCCACTGAGCTACATCCCAGCCCGCTTCTTTTCTTTTTTAAAAAATTATAGCCATCTTGGAAGGTAGAATGTGAAGCTCTTCATGGTTTTGATTCACATTTCCAGATGACTTGATAATAGCATGTACATATTGGCCATTTCTATGTCTTTAGAAAAATATTAACTCAAATCCTTAGTCCACTTTTAAAATTATGTTAGTAGGGTTTTTTTTCTGCATTGTACCTTCTCCTCCATCTCCTTCTGTTCCTGCTCTTCCTCCTTCTCTACCACCTCCCCCTCATCTTCCACTTCCTCTCCACCTCTTCCTCCATAGCCTCTTGATCTTCTTTTCCCTTCTGTTTTCTCCTTCTCCTCCTCTTTCTCCTCTTCCTTCCTCCTTCTCCTACTCCATTTCCTCCTCACTAGGATGCTATCTATCTCTTAGGTCTTTTGCATAGGGCTGGTGGTCTATCACTTGAGCAAAACCTCCACTTTCAGCATTTCTGCTTGTTAATTGGAGTCTTATAGACTCTCATGGTCCACCTGGCTTTGAATCATGATCCGTGAATTGCAGCCTCCTGAGTAGTAGTTAAGAATAAAGTTGTGAGTCACCAGCTCACATTTTGTATACTGTTTTAAAAATTACAAGGAGAGCCAGGCACCAGTGACACATACCTGTAATTCTAGCTTCTCAGGAGGTTGAGATCTGAGGATCGCACTTCAAAGCCAGCTGGGGCAGAAAAGTCCCTCTGAGACTTTTATCTTCAATCAACCACAATTAGAAGTGGCACTGTGGCTCAAGTGGTAGAATGCTAGCCTTGGGCAAAAGAAACTCAGGGATGTAGTGCTCACTCCCTGAGTTCAGGCTCTAGGACTGGCAAAGAACAAAAAACAAAAAACAAACCCTGAAAAGCAGTAGGTCTCCTTGTCCTTGTAATTTTTCTGTTTGTTGTGGGGCTTGAACTCAGGGCCTAAGTGCTGTCCTTGAAACTCTACCACTTGAACTATGCCACCACTTCCAGCTTCTTCTGTTTATGTGGTACTGAGGAATCAAACCTAGGGCTTCATGGGCTGGGAAGGTGGCCCAGTGCTTGCCTTGCATGCATGAGGCCCTGGCTTCAATTCCTCCGTACCACATAAGCAGAAAAAGGCAGAAGTGGCGCTGTGGCTCAAGTGGTAGAATGCTAGCCTTGAGCTGAAGAGCTGAGGGACAGTGCCCAGGCCCAAATTTCAGGCATTTTGGGATCATATGTTAGTCATACTAACCTTTTTAAAAAATAATAGCCATCTTGGCAGGTATGATTTGATTTCCTTATAGTTTTGATTCATATTTCCTGATGACTTAATTACATTGCTTGTACAATTTTCTCATTTCTATTTCTTTGGACAAATGGTAATTCCAATCTTTAGTCCATTTTTAAAGTAAGGTTGGGATTTATGTTTGTTGTTTTTTGTTGTTGAGTTGGACAACCACCACATCCTCCGCTGCCTCCTCCACCCCCACAGCCACTTCCCACCTTTTTTTCATACTCCTTTTTTTTTCATGCTCCTCCTCCTCCTTGTATACTTCTTTGTCTTTCTCCTTCTCATTGCCTCATTGTTAGCCCTTAACCTTTTTGGCTTAGGGCTGGTGCTCTATAATACAGTCAAACCTCCACTTCAACATTTTTGCTTGTTCACTGGTGACTTTATAGTCTCCTGCTTCAGGTGGCTATAAACTATGATCATCAGATCTCAGCCTCTTATGAGTAGTCAGGATTAAAAATGTGAGCCACCAGAGCCCATGTTTGGTGATTTTTAGAAAATTTTTTAGAAAGAACATGTAAAGCTGGGTGCTGGTGGCTCACGCCTGTAATCCTAGCTACTCAGGAGGCTGAGATCTGAGGATCACAGTTCAAAGCCAGACTGGACAGGAAAGTCCGTGAGACCTTATCTCCAATTAGCCACTCAAAAAACTGGAAGTGGTGCTGTGGCTCAAGTAATAGAGTGCTAGCCTCGAGCTGAAGAGCTGAGGGACAGCGCCCAGGCCCAGAGTTCAAGCCCCATGACCCACAAAAAAGAAAGAAAGAAAGAAAAAGAAAAAGAAAAGGAAGAAAGAAAGGGAAGAAGGAAGGAAAAAAGGAAGGAAGGAAGGAAAAAAGGAAGGAAGGAAGGAAGGAAGGAAGGAAAAAAGGAAGGAAGGAAGGAAGGAAAAAAGGAAGGAAGGAAGGAAGGAAGGAAGGAACATATAATAAGAGCCCTACTGTCTCTTTACATTTCAGTGTCCAGAACATTATTGTTGACTTCAAATACATTGTTGTAACATGTATCTCTAGACTTTTCTAGCTTCACTGAGGAAGCTAGAAGAATGCTTGAGTAATAACTCATTGCAAGTAAAATCATAAACCATTTGTTTTTTGGTGACTGACATCATTCAGGTTGATTCTTATTACTCAGTGCAAAAAGCTGAGTAATATTCTGCTTCATTTTATATATCTTCTTCATTTTCTAAATCTCCTTACTGCTCTGTGGACATTTACACTGTTTGAGAACGTTGGGTAAGTGTTTCAGTGTTTCTTGGAAATCTTCATTTTTCCTAAATAATACTCAGAATTGACATTGTAGGATCATATGGTCATTATATTGCTCATTTTATTTTTGAGGAACTTCCACAACCTATGTCCTATGGTAGCAATATTTTGCATTACTATTGACAGTAGATAGGGGTTCCATAATCTTTTTATCAAAATATGTTTTTTTTTCTTTAGTTATAGCCATCTTGGCAAGTGTGATTCTATCTCATTATAGTTTCTTTCACATTTCCTGACAACATAATTTTATTTCTTGTACAATTCTGTCTTTTCTTTTTCTTTGGAGAAATGGAAATTGCTATTGTTACTCCATTTAAAAATATTTGGCATTTTTGTTGGTTGTTTGTTCTTTAGTTGGACCACCTCCTTCTCCTCATGTTCATCCTCCTCCTTGTCCACTTCTTCGTCTTTCTCCTCCTTTCCTCCTCCTCTTCCTCCTCCTCCTCTTTAGCATACTGCTACCTCTTAGTGTTTCACTTAGGGCAGATATAGTTTCATTGAGCCATACCTCAACATACCTTGCTTGTTCATTGGAGACTTGTCTCTCCTGCTTCAGGTGGCTGTGAACTACAATCCATAGACCTTGCCTCGTGAGTAGTCAGGATTAAAGATGTGATTCACCAGAGCTCATCTTGGATTAGTTTTAGAAAGTTTTAAAAAGAACACATAATAAGTGCCCTACTGCCTTTACAATATTTTCAGTATCTAGAACATTACTGTTGGCTTTAAATACAATATTGGAAAACGTATTTCTAGACTTTTTCTGGCTTTGCTGAATGAAGCTAGATGAATGCTTGATTAATATCTAATTTCACAATACTTTACCAAGTGCAATCATAATCCATTTGTTTTTGTCTGCCATATCAGTGAAAGTTGATTCTTACTGTTTCTCAATGCAAAAGGCTGAGTAATATTTTATGTATATATTCTCCATTTTCTGTATCTACTTACCTCTCTGTGGACATTAGATCTAAATATCTATAT